ATCACTGACTGTTTTAGGAGCTTTTTGAGATTAAATAGAAGAAAATACAAAACATTAAACATGTTAACAACACAAAAGCCATATTAAACGCAGACTACTTTAGGCCCGGAAGTAGGATTCATCACGTCATCACTTAACGACCGGATTGCAAAGTTTAGAGATATATTTCACATACAAATGCAGAATTCCAGTTTGTCATTTCTTTTAAAACACCTATGAAACAAACAAGATTTCATATTACACAAATGAACTGCTAGCTACAGTAATATAAAAAACTAAGCAAATAAGGAAGTAGTATCTACATTCTCATTTAATGAGGCATATAGGAGATTAAATGGTTGGATAAGCAAAACTTACATGTAACCAATTCTTAATGCATAGCATTAGCACAGAGACGCCAAATGCATTTTACATCATGAGCCAGACCAGTGAAACAGCCCTTTCTGTCACTGTAAAGAAATTTAGTTACACGTTTAGTCCTTAAAATATCTGAATATAAGACAAATAATTGCGATTTTAGCAGGAAATTTCCAGTTTAGCTGAATCCCCTTCAGTTATTCTTCCTGACAAAGACTCACTCAGAGATGGACCCACTTGGTTATAGTATTCCCAGAGTATTTTAATTTATTTATTGTAATATTAATATTTGGAGTCCCTAAAATTGCTATGCAAAATACTCCAGTGCATAATATAAATATAAGAATGTTTCCATTATTTATTTGTTTAAATGATGTTGTTGTGTTATGAAAGACCATGTGGAAAGTCTATCGGTAAAAAAAAAAAAAAGAAAAGCTGTAAAACTTTAAAACTGAAAATACAGTTTAAAGTCAAAACACATGTCTTTCCAAAGCTGTCCAGTAGGGCCAGATTGGAGTCTTTGTCAGGTCAATTCTGGGTCCCAGGCCTTATGTTTAATACCAGTGCATTTTTACATGTATCTGTAGCTGTTTTGAAAAGTACAAAGAGGATGTGCACAGGCATCAGAGAAATATTTGTAGGCTACTGACCAATTTGCAAAATGCTAAAGGACACTCACTTGTTTAGACATGGGTGAGAGAAAAAGACCAAAAACAAGGGTATTTGCTGTTTCCATACAGAGCAGGGAATAAACGACAAACATAGATTCCAGATCTGAATGTCAACGTGCATTCTTTTTAATTGCCACCAGGGGGTGATCCTTGTTGTGATATGATGTCAGGCTACGATGTCAGGCATCATAGCGGTTAAGATGAACAGGCACATGGCTCAGTACATGAGTGGGGCACAGAAAGGGATTGGCAAGAATACCAGAGGCGCAAAACATCAGCTACTGGTAGACTGAACAATCAGCCGAGGCTGCAAGACTAGGCTGACCAACCTGTGCACTGCCTGGATGAATTACAAGAAGGCCTAAGACTCGATGCCCCACACCTGGATCCTGGAATGCCTAGAACTGTACAAGAGCAACAGGACCCTAAGGCCCCTCATCAGGAACTCAATGGGGATGTGGCGTAAGATCCGGGCTATCAACACCTACGCCCTGCCCGTGATCAGGTACCCTGCTGGGATAATAAGCTGACCAAAGGAGGAGATAGAAGCAACTGATATCAAGACCAGGAAGCTCCTGACCATGCATGGAGGGTTTCACCCCAAGTCCAGCACCCTGAGGCTGTACGCTAAGCGGAAGGAAGGAGGCCAGGTAGGGATGCACCGATACAACTTTTTTGGAAACGAGTACGAGTACGAGTACTTGCATTTCAGTACTCGCCGATACTGATACCGAGTACTTAATAAAAACATGATTTAAATTTACAGGTAACAGCTTTAGTCCTATAATTTAACAAAAACAAAACAAAACAAAACAAGGGACTGGTTTGGAATTAAGAACATTTATTTAAAATGAAAAGCATGTTGTATGCAACATATTACAGAATAAATAATTATGAAAAAAAA